GCTTAAGAAAACATCTGAAAGAAGTGAGCCTTTTTGACTTATTCATGTATGTTATACAACGCTCAGAAGATTTAACAAAGTCCACCCAGTGGATTTCTTCAGAATGAACATTAAAACACGAACAAGAGGGCACAAGTGGATACTACATGAAACACATTTAAAACTGAGAACAAAAGCTTACCCAAAGGTTTATAGGACTATGGAACAAGCTACCTGACCATGCTGTTGACATCAATACCCCAGCTTGTGCCACAAAAATGGCTAAACTTTGGATTAATTGACTACTACAAATGGGCTAAATGAGTCAAACGGCCTCCTCTTGTCCTTCGCCTTTTGTATGTTCCTACAGTATATTCTTAATTATACTGTTTGTATAGCAAACATAATTTCTGCCATTCTGGTTGTGTTAGAAGTGCGTGGTCTGTCAGCAGAGAAATGCTTATTATTGTATGTATTAGCTGTCTTTGTAGTGTCCAGTAAAATGTTTAATACATTTGACAAGTGTAGAGTGCCAGATTAAATTATTTTTAATATTCCACTATGACCCCTGGAGTAGTGAATGATAAGCCACAAATCTATAGGTTTTTCAGTTGGAATATTTTGGGATACAGGACTAGCATTGCATTAGTGTAGGTTCTGCTCAGGAAAATTGGCTCTGTTTTACTATTTCCCCTCCAGTAGAGTGCCCCTGTTAATCAGGAAAAGATCAACCATATTTTCCATTTTTGTGGACTCAACAGCACTTTATCATTTCTTTGATTTGCTGAGGCATTACAGAATAGACCTTGAGAAAGGACTATCCCCTATACTTACCTATTCCTGTTCATACTGTATGTACAGAGAAGTGGTGTTTTAAAATGGGCATAAAAAATCCTAAAACATAAAAAAAAACAAAGTGTGACATACTGGGGCAATTAAAACAACAATGGTTTTGTGCAACCAGCAAAGAGCACGGTATTTGAACTTAGTCTTATAAAACAAACTTTGCACCGGAGGGTTATAACACACAAACCATTGTGAAAGAAGAAAAAAGATCAAATGTATTTAAAATGTATTCAAAATATGGGAAAATAAATAAAAATACCACATTGATACAGCACGTAAGCTATAGTCTATGCAGAGTCTAATGGTTGTGGTGTAGGTCATTGAATCACCTGTAGAACAATCCAGTACACACAGCAGGGATATATAACACTGCCTGTGTATACAGCTGCCCCTCTGACAGATTCATTGATATGCACAATCTCAGACAGATTGTCGGCAAATTACAGACATACGGTTACAGGCCTGCTTTGCGCCTGCACCGAATGCTAAGTGAGTTATTCTATACTAAGTAGCCCCAATCTTGGCATTGGACTATAATGAAATTCCTTCTAAAAAATAGGTTTGCTCTCCCATGTTCATGTTTCAAGAGACAGGATATCATACTCTTATACTCTAATATGTTTAATCACAAGGCACAAGGTTGTGGTTATATCATTTAACAAAATGCAATATTTTGATGTGCCACAGCTACATATCACTATAATATGTAAAAAAGATTAACCCTACTTAATGATTCCTAAGTTGCCTCTCACATATATTTTATGTAATACAAGCGTTTACATAAGGTGCCATGAATCACATTTTAAACTTGTCCACTGTCTGGGCATTTCTGTCAACAGCAGCAATATTTTTTTTGGCAAACAAAGTTCCATAAAGCCATTCTAATATCTCTTCCAATCAATATATAGTTATTGTCTTTTGCAAATTCCATTAGCTTTCATGTCATTTACATAGGTAAAAACAAATCAGCTAAGATTTCCATGTGTCACTGGCCTCCATATTTAAAATTATCTGTTTGTGAAATATAAATGGAACTTTACTAATTGGCTGAATAATAATAATAATAATAATAATAATAATAATTGCTTACACTTATATAACGCTTTTCCGGACACTCCACACAAAGCTCTTTACAGGTAATGGGAACTCCCCTCCACCACCACCAATGTGTAGCATCCACCTGGATGATGTGACGGCAGCCATAGTGTGCCAGAACGCTCACCACACATCAGCTATCAGTGGGGAGGAGGGCAGAGTAATGAAGCCAATTCATAGATGGGAATTATTAGGAGGCCATGATTTCTAAGGGCCAATGAGAAATTTGGCCAGGACACTGGGGTTACACTCCTACACTTATCGAAAAACGCCCTGGGATTTTTTAATGCCCACAGAGAGTCAGGACCTCGGTTTTACATCTCATCTGAAGGATGGTGCCTGTTTACAGTATAGTGTTCCCGTCACTATACTGGGGCATTAGGACCCACATGGACCACAGGGTGAGCACCCCCTGCTGGCCCCACTAACACCTCTTCCAGCAGCAACCTTAGTTTTTCCCAGGAGGTCTCCCATCCAGGTACTGACCAGGCTATGCTTTTTTTAAAAAAAGGAAAGCTGTTGACATCTTAAAGATTTGGAAATGAAGAAGCTTCTTCATGAAATTTATAGGAATTTTGTTCCACACTAAAAAAAAAGATAAAAATGTAATTACACTTAATTTTTGAAGTTTTGAAGTGCAGGATTGATCAAATGAGAAACCTCCCCCTCCCTCTGACTACTGAATTAGTAAAAGACATTGATAGCATTTATGTACACTGTGAAGGTACATAAAGATATGAATTATTGAAGATATTGGATAAGCCTTGACCAAAAAGATTAGAAAAAATGTTAAAGAAAGCAGACAGGACAAAATGGGTATCATCAAACAAAGAAAAAAGCAGACCCTAAGTTCAATAATGTATAATTATTGTGAAATCCATCCATCCATTTTCTAACGACTTTATCCAATACAGGGAGCCAGAGCCTATCTCGGCAAGCAACAGGCACTAGGCAGGATACAACCTGGATGAGATGCCAGTATATCGCAGGGTGCACACAGACACAAACATGCATACTACTAATACTAATGTCTACTGAAGCATGCTTTATTGCTTATACAAATATTAAACAAAAAAAAGAAAAGCATGAGAAACAATTAACATTAACTGCATGCTCAGATTAATTGTTTGTGTGATTAACAGCCATGGTCAAATTTTAAATAAGTATTATTAAATTATTTTAAAAGGTAAAAGGTGAAATGAATGAGATACCTTAAAATCCTCAAATGTCCCTGAATTTGGTATGTTGTTATTAATAAAGCTTAAACTAAGTTATATTCTTTTTTTCTTAAGGTCTAAGGTTTGCATTTACAGTATATTCTCCATAACAGTAAAAACAAATACAAAAATGTATGGAAAAAAGATTCAAGAAAAAATCACGAAAATAAAATGCTTATGCAAGTAAACAAAGGAAGTCATTTTATTTCTTCTTCTGTTTTAGCTGGAATCACTTTAAGCCATTATCCAATTTGAAATGATATAACACAATTTGTATTTCAATTTTTAGTTTACTACTAAAATATATAAATAATCCATCTAAAATTAATAATGGGATACTCTCTGGGGAAATTATATATTCTGTTCTTAATTACATTGTTCCAAGTAGTCTTGTTACACTTTACAGTTAAACAGGTGATTATTTTTCCAAATTAATGTGTCCAAGCACTTGTTTTCCCAGTAATGAAGAGATTAATTTTCCATCTGTGTGAAAAAAGTCACAAGACTTTTCTTGCTCACAAAATAAAAAATACTGTTCAGTATTCATTCAAATGAATGAAAGTCTCTTTTTTGAGTACCTGTAAGAAAAAAAGGATTCTTAATCTATTTTACTTTTTCTCAGATCTGTGTTGAAATCCATTTTACATTAGATGTTTTAGCAACTTTGCTGTGAGGATGCTATCCAAAATGTATAGTCCATAACTTGAAAACAAAAGAGGAGAGTCTGTCTTTATCTCATAACTTTTAAAAAAGGCTTGTGTTTGTGAGAATGTCAAGGACACTTGAGCTGCTTGTTGTAGTATTAATTAATAGATTTAAAAGGGTACATTGCAAAGCTTTTTAATAATGCTATTGTAACTGCACTTTGTGATGTCAAATTGAATGTTGCTTTACGTCCAGCAAAGCATACAGTATACTGTATACTCTTGAGCACTGAGACTGAATAGAAAATGTATTGGCCAATAGAGGACCAATTTAATGGTGAACACTTGTGGATACCATTAAACTAATGTGAAGATACTAATTAATAATACCTTTTCAGAAAGGTATTGTTGTCCTTTCAGGGGCTCCAGGATTTTTCTGTAGTTAATCTGGTAAAATATACCATTATTTGTTTATGTAAAAGTGAATAATTCAACATTCTTGAAGATATTAAAGCATAGTATATTTCAGCCACATCATCACAGATAAAAATAGCCCCATCAGGTATGAAATTCCTGATTTTAAATAAAAGAATAAAGAACTAGTATGCATACTTATTCATCTCACAGGAAATGGCAAAACAAGGCAAGTCTACTGTATACCTTCAAAAATAAAATAACAGGAATAAGAAGTTGTTTTTAGAGTAGTGCTCTACAAGTACTTCCAATACTTGTAGAAAAATCTTGCTGCCACAACAAAGAGTAGACCAAAGGCAGAAGACAAGGAAGTATATATATATAATTCAACAATAATAATAATAATAATAATAATAATAATAATAATAATAATAATAATAATGATAATAACAATAATAACAATAATAATAATAATAATAATAATAGGGCCACTGGTTCAATTCTGGATTATATTTACATGGTTATAATTTGTTCTCCAGATGTTTGTGTGGGTTTCCTACAGGTGCTCTGGTTTATATTGGTCGGTTAATTAGCTCTCTAGGAAGAATCTCCCACATATTGGTAGGTTAATCACTCTGCTGTGAATGTGTCCGTGTTTGTATCTGTGTGTGTTAGGTGATGGACTGGTGTTGTCCCACCCTGGGATCCTAATTTGGAAAAACTGGTTTGAAAATGAATGATTGAATGGAATCATAGTAATGGATAAATATACAGTATCAAGACAAATTGTTGTTTCTTTTCACAGGATTATACAATTACAATGTATTTCCAGCAAAGCTGGAGAGACAAACGTCTAGCCTACACAGAACTTGCTCTCAACCTTACTCTGGACAACCGTGTTGCTGACCAGCTCTGGCTCCCAGACACCTATTTTCTTAATGACAAGAAGTCTTTCCTGCATGGTGTGACGGTGAAGAACCGTATGATCCGTCTGCATCCGGATGGTACAGTGTTGTACGGCCTAAGGTAATTTTTCATTAATTGTCTGTTTTGATGTTTTGATGCTTGATGGTCTTGCTTGTTGAATAGCTTAGGAAAGAATTTAATAATGTACAACAATTTATTCCTATCACACAGAAAAGCCTTAATCGTCAAACACACCACATTACTGTATATGCAGTATGTCTTAGTATACAGTATGTACATACAGTGAAATGTATTAACCACCTGACAATAATGTCACATTCTGATAAATTGCAAGTAATGTATACAATATTCTATTCCAAACTTCAGTATTCAAGTTTAAATTGAAAAAAAAAAGTTAAATTTACTGATTGCATAAGTACTCAGCTCCCTAAGCCAGGACTTGGTATAAGCACCTTAAAAAGCAACTTCTTGTCTTGTGTATGCCTCTATCAGCTTTGCCTTGTGACTGAGGTCATTGTCCAGCTAATATATATATATATCCCAGTTTTAATTTTCTGTGTGTGTCACTTTACATCCCTGCAGTCCATGCTATTAAGACTTATCCCCATAATGTGATACCGCTATCATCATACTTTACTTGACAGCTATACAAATCAGGTTTGTGTAGAGAATAGGGTATTGTCAACAGTACGATAAACATGCATCAAACTTCGAAATACTAAAGGTTCCCAAAAAGAAATGTTAATTTAACAAAATCTATCTCAATTTCTTCTCTGCATTTGCTTACAGTGTACTTAAACAAATCCTTAAAAAAATACATTAATACAATATAAGCAAACAAAAACCTAAAATCCTTGAGTAACATCCTTGGAAAATGAGTGAAATATTGAAAATTTAGGGAAGTGCTGAAACAGGAAGTTTAAATCCTGCAAAGAAAAATCTAAAATATCTTCCAGGTGGTCATGCTTTCTATCATACAAAATGGAACATGGCTCTGGCAGTTATTTTAAAGGCTGGTTTGCACAGACTTCTTTCTCCAATGCAAATGCAATGTTATACAATAGATAAAGGCTTAGCTGTTTGAGCTGTGTTAAAAAAGCAGATTCTAATTTTTAAAAACAATCAAGAAAAACATTTGTCTTCTTGAGATATTAGGCAATTATGCCAGTGAAACGTATGTCAGATACCTTTCACAATCAAATTTTCCAACATTTGTGCAATCTGCACTAAATTACATATTGACCTGTGCAATACATTATCTTGATTTTTCATTTGTATTTTTCTTACGTTGCATTTTCCACAAAGAAATTGATTTAAGGCTACCTCTTAATAAAATATTACATCATATTCTAAAGCAATTGAGTATATATAAACATCATTAACTTGATAACTATGTTCATGCTAAATTGATAACAGAAAACAAATTCCTACCTGGAGGATTCATTAACAACAAAGAATGAAGGATTAATGTATTATTGTTTGCCGAGATTGCCATTGGAGGCACATTGTGGACAATATTACTGCACTATGAGAGACATTTTTCAGGTTAGTTTGATAGCTTTATGCTTTTTAACACACATGGGTGGCGTACAGATACGTAGTTTTTTAAATGCTTCGCTGTACAGAAAAAAATGCTTTGAGGATATAAAGCACCATGCCTCAGAAAAAAAAACACCGTCACCTTTTGTAAGAACCCTTTTGACTTGGGTGGAGGTCACCCTCACAGAATCTCAAATGATTGCAAGGTGAGTCAGTTGTGTAATTTAGCAGGTGCCTAACTGAAACCCCTAGAGATCAACTTTGTCCACTTGGGATAATAATTTAAGCTTCAGATGTAAAGACCACCTTGAATAACCAGGAAAAAGGGTACTCATTTATATTGTCTTACTCACACATATACAGTACAGTAAGAGTGACATGGTTAGTGAAAGGACATAAAGGGCATTCTATATCCAATAGCAAAATTAGGTCTGGCAAGAGCATATTAGTTCTACTGTATACTGTTTATGTGCTCCTGCCAGACTATTTTTGCTGCCATTGTTTTGCTAATATAGTGTACATGTGTATATATGGTCCTGCCATCTTACATTTGTACTGTATGTCAGCATATATTAAATCAGATATCTTGTATGCATACAGTATGATATTTGTAAGTACTATACATACATACACAACAGTATTTTTAGTGTATTTACAGTGCAGCCATTCTAATGACCTGGTTATTTTCTGCCTGTTAAACCTCTTTTTCGCTTGCATACATCCTATTCTATAAATAGCAAAAAAGAAAATAGCATGGAAAAGAAGATGCAATGCACTCGTAGCCTTTATTAAGGGTTATATAAACAATGATGTTCCACAACTGTTATTATTTGTTCCACAGGGCAAAAGCACATACTGTAGTAAAATGTTTCAGAGCTAAAAATAGTCAATTATGTTAATTATCAGAAGCCTCCAGCTATTGTACAGTATCAAACCTTCTATATTTCTCCCCCTTCCTACTTAATAGGGACACCTTCTTCTTAGTCTCATTATGTCCAATATATTTGCTTAGCATCCTTTACAAAATTGATTTCTAATACTATTTGTTTAATGATTATATTTTCAGACTAAGAGAAGAAAAACTTGCAGAGATGTGAAATAATGATAATTAAATACTTCTCTGTTAATTTACAAGCTGTTGCAATTTCATTTGAACTGGAGGGAGGGGTCCTCAGAGACCTAACAGTACAGATTGAAGTAATGCCTGACTCGCATAACAGAAAGGTCGATGGCTTGCACTCTGCTTAGCTGCTTATCTGACTGGAAGCCCACAGGAAACATTGCATTGGCCTCTATTGTGACATGTAGTCCAAAGGGAAGATTATGTGGATTTGATTTCTTATCCTACTAACAAAACCAACCAAGTTGATGCTGTTCAATTTTCTTCTGATGTCTAAAAATGTCTATAAAAATTAGGACGTACAGTAAATCTCACTGTGAGCTTGACACTGGGGAACCTCTACCAAGTGTGACAAGACGCTGGTGAGCTGAGAACCTCTTGCTTTTGTTTCCTTGTTTATTTTCTTGGAAGTGAGAAAAATGAAGATGAGTGCAAAAAGTTTTTAATACATACTCAGAGGGAATTCTCAGAGGGAGCAAGCTCTGTTTCTTATTTTCTTGACAGAGCTGCAAAATCTTACATTTCATTTTTAATTAAAAGGGTGAATAGTTCTGGTTAAGAGAAAGATCAAAAACAGTTTTAGAAAATTGTCTATTCTGACTTTACTTAGGCTCTGAAAAAACATCCAACTGGTCCAAAGAACATTCCTGTTTCGGTGTTTCTGATCATTCCAGCACATACTGTATTGTAACGCTTACGGCCGACAAGCACTGTGTAAGAGCCGGCGTACCAGAGCAGGGGACGTCACCGCCCTTCCCTGTGATAGCAGGACTACAGCTACTGGGCTGTAGAGAGATCTCTCTTTAGCTCACGGGGCTAGGTCGCTGCAGAGAGACGCAGAAGTCCCGGGTTCGAGCCCCGGACGGTGCAGGGGCCGACCAGATGCGGCAAGGGCGCCTGCCTGAGCCCCCGTTGCATTACATTGGTGTCAGAAGCGGGGTGGGATAGCCCTTCGGCGGGGACGGCGATTTAAGCGGGGGAGAGTCTAACGCTTACGGCCGACAAGCACTGTGTAAGAGCCGGCGTACCAGAGCAGGGGACGTCACCGCCCTTCCCTGTGATAGCAGGACTACAGCTACTGGGCTGTAGAGAGATCTCTCTTTAGCTCACGGGGCTAGGTTGCTGCAGAGAGACGCAGAAGTCCCGGGTTCGAGCCTCCAGTCGGGATGGGGCTGACCAGATGCGGCAAGGGCGCCCGCCTGAGCCCCCGTTGCGTTACAGTATGTATCTCTCAAACTTATTGGCACAAACCTGATGGAAGCAAGAAATAAGAGTAAATTGAGATATAAGGGAACTGTAGATACAGACAAATAAGAGAAGGGACATCCAGTAAAGTTTCTGGTGAGCAACCCCAGAGGATAGACACTATTCTAATGCACTGATAGAAGATGAAAGGAAATATGATATATTTGATCACATTCAGTTTTTGTTAAATATTATTTACCAACCTTACACTGATTCTTTGTTCACATTCCATCTAAAACTCAGGCTTTAAACTAACATGATGTTATCATATTAACAGAAAAAACCCTCAAGGAAAAACAATGTTGGAAAATTGCCTCCCAGGCCAATTAGAAACACAAATGTTTGAGACAAGCGCACACTCATTTTAATGAGGGCACAATTGTTTGCCTGAAATAGCAAAGTGAGCCTGTCATTTCATGGCAGATCTAAATTAAGCATCCAGTTGCATTTTTTTCAGTTAATGTTGAATTTCTAATTAGAAATTATTACCTGTTAGAACCTACCTATTAGGCAAATGCTTAGATGGATTCTGCTGAGATATGATTTAAAGACCAAACATGTGAACTAGTGTACTGTGACAAACAGATTTTATAGAATGATGTCTAAGTGAGTACAGTCTAATAGACTTCTGTTTTTTTTTTCATTCTAATAAGCTGTAATTAGGAAGACATTTGCAATTGGGTCTGTACAATCTGCTGATTTTTTCACTATGACTGTGAGGATGTGAGTGAATGCAGAAATATACTATAGGTGACAATTTTGAACAAAGTGAGCACTACGATTCTTAATATTAAGTCCTTCACAAGATTTACAGGGCCAAAGAATATCTCATTGTCTGTAACATTAGGAGATTACAGTTACAAGACTCCCCTGATAGGAGCACAAGTCCTTTGCAGGTTAACAAAGTGAATGCTGATACTGTTTTTTTAGAACTTTTGGCTGATAAACATCCCATGTTTTCAATGGATAAGTTTTAGTGATTTGTTACATTTACTATATATAAAATGGTCTTGTAACTGTTCTGTCCTGTGAGTGTCATGCCTCCCCCACAAGGACTACTCTGGTGCAGTAGTGTTGCTGAAATAAAAGATGAAGTTAAATTCATTTTTGCTTCCTTGGATTGCAAACTGTTTCATTCGCAATAAGAGTAAAAGAGCTGACTGCGCTTGTATGATTCAGTATCCCAAATGTAATTATTAAAATGTGCTGCACTAGCAGGCAACCTGTACAGCCACTAGACCCCCACACACCTAATATGTATCAAATTCCCCCTGTTTTGTATCACTGCATTCTTTACCAGAGAAATGATAAAATGACATTCATTCTGTTCCAAACATAGAGAGGAGTATTTCATTTGCAAAAGGAGCTGAGAGCTGACAGAGCTTGTATGATTTAATATCACAAATGTAATTACTAAAATGTGCTGCCCTAGTAAGTAATACGATGCCACACTCCCCCTCACACACACACATGAATACTCAAATATGTAACAACATCAAATGCTGTTTTTGTACTACTGATTTCCAACTGAAAGAAGTCCAGTTGAAATGACTTACTTTGCAAAATGTGCCTTGTTATTTCACAAAGAACACAAAAGGCTGTTATGTGTAAGGCACACAGATGAAATTGTGCTAAAAAGATACAGTACTAGTACTATTAGACAGAAGGGTTCTTTAGTGTACTATGTGGCCTAAAATAATTAGGCTTGTGTAGGAAGCCCCTGATGGAATGCAGAGAAGTCATCTCCTGTAGCTGGGTGTGGGGTGTGAAAATAAATAGCACACAAGATGCTGTCCTGGAGATGTAATGATTTCTGTTCCATTTCTGTTGTCTCTTTAGTTCCAAGACATCTTTTTAAGCACCAATTTTTGAAAAGATAAAGACATATCAGTTGATTTGACGAATTGGCTCAAGATCAAAAGATATGTAATCTTCCTAGGGATTCTCCATACCAGGGGATCACATTAGAATGGCATTGTGTTATTTTTCTTATGAAAAAGTAGTAGCAAATCTTGTTAGAGGTTAAAGGTTAATGATCATGAGCCCCTATGCATCTAATAATACCACTGGCTTTTACTTTCTTAAGTTATAATCTTTAGAAGTGTTTTGCAGTAATATCAATAGCCATTGGTGAGAGAAATATAAAAGATCTACTGAAAAATTGATTAATCAGAAAAAGCTTTAGATACTGTATATTTAAAAATATATATGACAATTTTTTAAACAACTTGTCAGTGTTATTTTTAACATTTTGAGCACTAAGTCAAAGACAAATGTAGTGTTGATGCTGTATGAGACTTATCAAACAAACTTTAATTATAGCAGGTCATGCTTTTGAGGAGGTAGAGGGATTGGATTTCTGAAGAAACTTAAGTTATTGCAAAAGGGTAACTAATTTCACATTTTAATCTTCATTCCCCCTTAGGAAAAATATTTTTTTTATGTAAACGCTTTATTCACTATTCCAGAATAAATAAAAAGCTCCATAATATTCCACTCCAAATTAAACTAAAAAAATATTAAGAAACAGATTCTTCACATCAAGAATAGTACAGGAATGATGAATCCAAAATAAAATAATAAAGGTTTTATTCTTGTTTATTTGCTTCTTGTTTACAGTCACAGCAAAATAAGATTTGGTCTTTTTTTATTGATGGATACTGGGGTAGAAAACAAATATGCTGTAAAGACAACAACATTTTCTAAATGCAGAACTGCATTGAGATTTAAAACTAATTTAGACCTTGATATCATACGGAGTGCATATCATGAAAGCATTTTCATAATGGCCATATTACTGTCAAACATACATTGTCCACAATTTCTTAAATGTTTTCATCTAATCAAAACTTCGAGAAAGTCTTGGAGCTTCTCCACCATGGAGTTCCTCACCCCATGGAGACTTCAATTCACTTTTCCTGCAGTGAATCTTAGCCGCAGGCCTCCAATCTGCTCCACTCCTGTGCTCACACAGTACACCTGCTATTACACGGGGGATCCTCAGACTAAACTCCTAGGCTTTTTAAGCCCTTAGCCTAAAACCCTCCCTGTCAATTCCTGTGTTTTTCCACAAAGCTTTCATCTATCCAATTAAGTAATACAGTATATAACACTGATTTAGATACAGGTCAATGCAATGTGTGGACATGGTAACAGTATACAATAACAAGGTGAGGTCATTTCAATGAGCATAAAACTAATAGGGCCTTTGTTCTGTTAAGAATTTGATGTGTTCTGTTAGAGAATGTAACTGTATTACAGGAAAAAGGGAAAAAAACAGATAAATGGCCACAATGAAAGGCAACTCACTGAAGCCATTCTATCCCTTTGGCCATGCTGACCAGTCAAAATTGCAATTGTATAGCTGCTGGGGCTCCCATTCTCTTCTAATGATCTAAATTCCTGCTGATGTAAATATCACTGCACTTTAAATCCAATTCTTTCCTGCTGGTGCTTTCCCAAAAGGAATGCTTTTCTATCCTCTTTGTAAACATCATTGAATGTGATGCAAAAAAGGGCAGAACGAGGTTATACTTTTTGCATGGTGAACACATGGCATGCTCCAACCAGGCGCTGGACAGCTCATTGAAAGAGCTTCTACGATGTGCTTTCCTGCTTTTTCCATGGGCAGGAATGAAAAACAAAGGCCCTGCATCCAGAAGAACAGCCCAGTTGCAGTGTTTCCCTCTTTTCCTGAAGAAGGACCACAAGCAGGTTGTATTCAACCTTAGCAAGCAAGTGATTAAAATTTCTTTCAGCACAAGACAGCAGCTGCTGAAATTACTCATTTAAAGATTCACGTGGTGCAGTCAAGGCTAAGCTGCAATTTCCAAAGGTTTCCAAGGTAACAGTAATTCTTTCTATTCCTTTATTTTTCAGGATAACCACAACGGCTGCCTGCATGATGGATCTGCGGAGATACCCCCTGGACCAGCAGAACTGTACCCTTGAAATCGAAAGCTGTATGTTTACTCCCAGCCCTGTTTATTTGTATTTATTTTAGCTACATTTAACTTTATTGGTATTAGGGTTATTGCACAGTACAATTCACTGTCTTAATCTTGCATTAAAACCTTTAAAGGCTGGGCATCTTTACACTGTAACACAATTTTTGCTCTATGTGGTAGAGTCATGTGTGAAATATATATTTCCTGTTATCATAAGTGGCCACACTGTAACCATCTGGCTTCATAATCCCCTTTTCATGTGATAAGTCAAATACAGCCAGAGATCATAACGTTGATTTCAAATCAGAACCCAAACAAAATCTGTAGTCATTTCATCTGCCTGATATACTGAAAAAGGGTGAAACTTCTGCTCAAAATCTGTCCTCCTTTTTGTGAGACCTTTTCTCAAAGTGTAGTTCCCCCTTTTTGATTTTTGAATAAATATTCAGAATTCTGAATCCTCAATAGAATTTGATAAACCAATCGGGAATTATATGCAAATTCCTCTTGTGATATACAGCATGTATGCCCAGTTACGTGTTGTGCAACTGCATTATTTTTGTGACGAATCTAAGGACATTCTTCTATGAGATCCTTCAAACAGCCAGTTGGCTTTAGAAAAAAATATTTGGAATTCTATGACACTCACTAGACTAGTCACACAACAATAAAACCCTGGAGGATGACAAGAAGAAATATTAGCTAAAAGGAATAAACAAAAAGGTGAACAGGGAACATCCAAAAATAATAATAATAAAGCTACATCTAGAAAGCCAAATGATGGATTTGTTCAGTGCACCACAGACAGCATGTCCCAAAGGCAGAGTATGCTTACTGTAAAACTGCTTCCCTGTCATTTTGTGTGGGCTTCCTTAGTATCTTTGTGCATTGGGCAAAATCTGTACCACTAGCTCAATGTCAAGTGTATAGTACACTTACTGTATGCTGTAAAATTACAATGAGCATCTATTGCACCAGTGTTCCTCAATAGTGTAGTATGTACCTCCTTCTTAAGGTCCTTTTCAACTTAATGCTGTGATTATATCTATTTATTTTGTGTTAAAAATGATGTGAGTAGTTGTACATCATACAAAAAGGAACATATACGAGCACAAAATACATACTGTTAAAAGTAACTTTTAAAGTGTCTCCTTCTCTGCCTAGAGAAGAAAGCTCATCACATGTGTTGCATTCACTATTCTAGGTAGTGTAGAACAAAGTAGAACAAGCACTGAAAAAGACCGTGGTGTTGCCCTCACAAGTAAAGATAAGTTACAAGCTGAAACGTCTTTAAATTAAAAACTAAATTTAAATATAGAAAAATTGTGCTTTCAATCCTGCATACTGCTTCTGTATCTGTATCATGTGATTTTTGAGTGAGTAGTGCAGTGACTGATTTGAAGAGAAATGTTAATGATATACAGTATTCATGATAAGTACTGAAACTCTTCCTAAACCACACCTGGTCCAGATAAATTAAGATGAGACAAAGCTACAGATGGTTTACATATACTACTAATAATAATAATGATAAAAATAATAATTACATTGCTTACATTTTTATAGCACATTATATTTTTAATTTTTGCTCTTCAAAGGATACCAAGTTCTGCACCTATCATGGTAAAACACAACATTCCTTATGCTCTAGCACCCCCACAACACAGCAGATCACTACTTCAGACCAGACTGCTTTACCAAACGAATTAAGGAGAAAATTATAGGACACCGAATGCAGAATTTATCCAAGACACCAGGATTAACATTCCTACTCTGAACAAGTAGGCAGGATCTTGGTTCAGTGTCTCTGCTAAAGGATGGGACCTCCTATAGCACAGTGTTCTCTTCACTGTACTAGTAAAATCCAGTCTACATTGGGATGGGTCATTCAATCAGCACTAAACCTCCTACACATGACTGCACAGACACTGCCATGTTAAAAAACTAGGCATGTTTGAGTCTGCACACACTTCTTCATTTTCCCCTGTGGGTGAGAGAATGAGAGAAGATTTGAAAAATATACCTTTTTAATACACTGCCAAAATATACTATTCCAATCGGTTGTGTTTATAACAGAAAAGGGGTTGTTTATAAATCTAGATTCAACAAATGGGATACAATTCCCAGCAACTTGTTATTCATCCATATTGATGCTCAACCTGTACTTATATAACCATATGTCACTTAGTCATTTAATCAAGAAATAGGTCTTTTGAAATAATTGTGTCAGCAACTATAAACTAAACTTGCTGTGGAGATGTTTTCCCACATTTCCTTCCTGGGTGTGATATAAAGTTCAGAGAGTGTCAAGTGCTCATAAGTACTTCATGTCAGTTGGTAGCACAGTTGTAAGTCCAGTGAGGATGCATAAATGGGACCAAGTGTATTCACGTGGGAATGTTCTTGCCAGCAAAAATTCACACAGTATTTTACTTCTTTCATTGAACTTTGCTTAGTGCCTAAAATAAGCAACACTGTGTTTTAGAACATCGAAGTGAAAACACACTTATTTATTAGCACAAGCACAGTAACACCCTCTGTCATTTTGTGGTCTGGTGTTAGTAAATTAAAAAAAAGTCTGTGAGCTCTTACATTTTGTGTAGAGTTATCACAGTCTCTAAATCCCATAAAATAAGATTCTAAAAAGGTAACTGATGTTGCATAATTATTAGTTACAGGTGAAAATATATTTTGAATATATTTTTAGTCTTCCAACATACTGTACCTACAGACCAAAAAAAAACACAGAAAACTATAAAACAACAGCTTACACTAATACACTGCATAGGTCTCCATTCCAATTTCTGTATTTATTTCTAGATTACAAATAATTATAAAGAAGAGCTTAAATTTATCACTTTTTTGGTTCTGAGAACTTAAATTTTGTCCTACGGTATTGGCCAAAACCTGCTGTGATCAGTAAAAAAAGCAATGGTGTTTCAAGGAGAGGTTCACCTTCACTCTACGTGCTGAAAATTTGAGGTATAAAATGTATTTTTCCCTTTATGTAATCACCAGTTTAGAATTGCTAGCTACATCCCAACTCAAAAGTCACAGGTCAAAGAATCAGCAGGACGAACACAAAGGTGTCCTCCAAATATAGCTGTGTCGCACATTCTCCTCATTTAGCACATGCAGTCCAGAAAGCAGACAAACTATTTAATCAGACAAAGGACCCACATAGCTTAAACTGGATGCCACACAAACATGCAGCCACAGGCAAGGCAAGAGAGCAGTAAGTCAGGGGATTCCCTGCTATTTTAAACCCAATCAGTTATTGAGGTGCCCACCCAGTTGTGCACCACTCTTTGGGAGCTACCATGAATAATCACTAGAATACACATCATGGATTCAAACCTGCAATTTCCAGTCTTTGCCAGGTACATGCTGGAAGCTGAGTGGCCAAGTGACTTGGGGGCTATGATTGATGTTAGCTTATTCCTCACTTAAGAGCATGTTAAAGGCAAGAGGACCAGGTCACCAACCTTACCCTTAACCTAGGCATAAATAAACCATTACTAATAGATGGGGGTAACTTTTGAGAGACTAGAAAAAATGTTTTTGAAGTTATGAATCGGAAGCACAGAATATCAAAACAAGAAGTAAATTAAAAGAGAAAAATTAGGATATTGTATCAAGTGCTCACCTAAATAAAACAACCATGTAAACTCCAACTATGAACTTACTGTACTAACTTAAAATTAATTGGGAAAATGATTTACTTACTGTGACTGGGGGCCAACAACTCACTCACTGATGAGAAATATTGCATTGGAAAGATACAGTCAAATAGATTCCCGTTTGAATAGAATTGTGATCATTTTAATATTTCACTATATAATCATTGATTTGTAGCTGTGCATAAATCTTAGAATGCAGGTTTTGCAGCCAATTAAAACATGCTGGTTATGTGTGCATTCTTTACAAAAGACCTTTCACAGAACATCTGATGAAAGATGATTCTCAACTTCATTAGAAGATGGAATTTTTCCAAGTTTAGTCGTTGATACCATCATTTGTTTTGACAGTTTCTCCACAACATGACTTCCGAAGACCCCCTTGTACAGAGGGATGAGCAGTTATGAGCAGTTAACTGTTTGCTCTCTCACAAACATGGCTGTCTTTTCTTTAAGCTTTGTTTGCAATTTTTTTGATTGAAGGTAATTAAATGCTAGCACCTGTAAACTCAAAAAGAAAATGATACCTTAACAAGCATTTAAAATGAAAGGAGAAATCTTATCATAACAAGGTTCACTTCTGTTGATGAGTAAGCCCTTCTCTTCAGGTGTGAAGGGGCTGTTATAGAAACATCAGTCGGTTCCCTGCAAGGGGAGTGCAGATGCTGTAAAGTAAATAGATTTCTGATAATGATGTCTTGCAAGCGACAAATGAACAGTGAATCTGCTGTTGATTCACCGTGATGCTAGTTTATTAAAGACCTTGTGTTTCACTGATAGCTTAATGAGCCTTGAGTGTGCAGACGAAACAGGCAGTCCTCTTGTTCTGCAAATCTAGGTGTTGTCTGCATAGATAAAGTACATTGGACAGTACAAATGATTGTATTTCTAATAGTAAAGAAAATACCTAGGCCCTCCTGAAATGGTTGTCTGTGTTTGAATGTCTGTAGAAACTGAGACATGCAGTTTGAATGTATACTACCCTGTATTGTACATTTGTTCTTTCTTGCACCAGGCTACAGTATATTGCTTGCGTTTTGCTTTTAATCTGTTCCCTTCTCATTTGGTTTTATTATTGTTGCCATATGCAGCATCAAAAATTGCTGTATTGCAAACTATTATTGATTACACAGCATTCTCTGTTCTAGTAGGAATGGCAGTTTTACAAAGCAGGAATTGCTCTTTTTAAAAATGAAAGGAAATTAGGGAAATGTAGCAAATTGCAAATCTGTTCATGCATAGGTTTTATTGGGAGATCTTTTCTATGTCTAGCCCATTATTAATATACTCTATAGTATATTAATATAGACACTTTTGAGACATGAGCAATTATGACCAAGAACAGTTAAAGAATTACAACCACTAAATAAACAATAGAAACAGATTAATGCCTAGCCTTCTTAAAATATACATCTGTGACAGAAAACCAGCACGCTGGTTTGTTAAAAATGAATGAAATGTGTAAAGGTCCAGGAAACCAAAAGCCTAATAGAAAATTAGGAAACTGAATATAGTGTAGGTATTTTTTCCTGTTGGAAACAGAACTGGTAGCATATCTAAAAATACTAACTCTAATCTCAATAAGGTATAACTCGACTGTGTTTACTGTGTCCTAAAAGACACCATTTAAGAGTGAAGAACAAATTCATACCAGTGACACGAGCATACAGTAAATGCTTTTAGCTCCAGAGAAAGAAAATGCTTAATGACATCATCTTTGAAAGTCAGCTACAACAAGGTAATTTAAAATAAGGAATCACAACACATTTTTTAATTAAAATACATGGATTTGCACATTTTAAACTGAACCAAAAAGCTTCAAGGGGTGTTCTGCTAACAGCTTATTACTACTATTGCTATTCTGCTAATAGTTTATTACTAATATTACTATTACTATTAAACTTACTTTCTTAGTACTTTATCCATGTTGTTCTGGAAATAAATGTGGTCCAGAACTGTTCAAAAGTTCTACATGGTCTTGGAGCTTTATTTTCTCTCACTGTACAGTTCCTTTTAAAACCTGTTTTGAGAAGTGCAAAACCCTGACTGTCCTTAATTGTGGTTTCTTTCTTATAGATGGATACACGACAGACGACATTGTATTTTTCTGGCAAGGGGGTGACAATGCAGTTACAGGGGTAGACAAACTGGAACTGCCTCAGTTCTCAATTGTTGAACTGCGGCTGGTGTCCAAGGAAGTCAGGTTTACAACAGGTAAGGGTTAAATCTGGTATGCGGATTTCATACCTATCATAATAACCAATACAGTTTGTTTTCCTCTATTACATATGCTTATTTTTCACTTTCTCCATTTATTATAGTACAGTACATATGTTCACAGAGGCAGACCAAATTAAATCCTTAATAAATATTCCTTAATAGTATTGTGACTGCACAAAAATATAGATAAGCAGAATGGACAGCCAAAATACGTCTCTGTTCAGTAACATATCTAATATCTAATGTATACACAGAAGCATTGCGTAAAAGGTCGACAATTCCAATATGGCTCCAGGTGTTCTGTTCAAGATGACGGAGCTCACATTTATTCCTATCTTTCTTTTTGCATATGGTTTGGTAGAATATTTGGTATCTAACTTCTCCACTGGGCTGCCCATACTGCATTTTGTCTGCAAAATCAAATATTCAGTAGGTAGTAAAACCATTAGTAATTAATTAGTTGTAGAAGCATGAGAAATTCATAAGCATGACAACTGACTATCATTGTCTCTTTCTTGGAATTCTTAACGAGACATTTCCAGTTTAATTACCTTCCATCATCCCACATCAAATATTTAGCAAATAGCACTGATCATTGACAAAAAAAAGTAATCCGTGGTGAATTTACACTCAGTGACTCACACACTAGGATAAATGGGAGAGTTGTAGAAAGGGAAGTGAATTGTCATGAACATTCGATCGACTATTTGCTAAACAGGAAAACAGGATAACTTGATCATTAAATCCACAGAAGCAAATCGAATTCACAATGAGGTACTTAGAAATTCAGAGAAAGAAGCCAAGAGCTTTAAGGTCACTCTCATGACATTCCTTTGAAATTGTGATTTGAATATGTTGTTATAATATAAAACAGCTTCACCTCCACACTTAGTCAGATCATTGTACAGCTATGATGGTTAAATGTTAAGTTGTTGTCTTCTTTGATTAACTCCTTTCCTTTTAGGAGAAATGACAAGCAACAGGGCAGACTGTCTATTTTTAAGTCCAGCAAAAATGATACTTTGTCAGCTTTCCTTCTGCTTGAGTTTTAGCAATATGAAATAATCAAGGATTTTGTGTTAGCATTTACTATTCAAGAAAAAGGATCAATTAATTTTCTGTTGTAGCTGCAGCTTTGCAAGAACATTGTTTTCTCCTCAACACTGCTCAGAAATCACAATTAAGTCAAGCACAATTAAGATTAGCTGACTATCTTTTGATTTCAATAGCAGTGCAAATGTGTGATACTGTATTTCTGTCTCTTCCTTCACCATTAGGACAATAAGCTTTAAACATGGCACTACTCTGTTTCTTACCTTTCTTGTTTCTGTACTTTAGTACTTGGTAGGTTGTCTACCCTATTGTTTTTGCATATTTTAGAAGTGGTTTTCTGTTACATGTGAAGTGTTTTATTTGATATTACTGTTTCTACTAAGGTAATGTTTATGCATGTCTTCCAAAAACAAGATCATGGGGGACAAAAGTATAGAAAATAAATAACAGCTGAAAAGAGAAAAACTCCAAAGTTCATATTACTAGACTTCTCTGATTCTAATTAGCATCTTCTGAGCAACTTCCTATTAATTAGCTGGAGATGTCTATTCAGAAGCTATTTATATCCAAAAAGCCTTGTTAACATGTTTAATAAAAACAGACAAAAGTTTAAATAACAGGAAAACATAATTGATACACACCATTCAATTGAGGGGTGCAATACAACTAGCAATTGAAACAAAATAAAAAAACTCATTAAATTACTGTATCAAATACATAATAATATCATACAATAAGCTTGTTTCTTTGTATCTTGTTTTATGGGACCACTATTGATTAATGAGATTGCATTTTTTACTAGATCAAAGTATTTCTACACAAATGTTTTAGTGTCTTCAGATGCTGCAAAGGGTGTGATGCCTCAAAACAAGTTCCTCTTTGTGACTCAGGCATATTTAGTGACTCAGAAAGCTACACTGAGAGGAGTGAATGTTGATATTGAGATTGTGGAGTTATGGAGATGTTTGCAACATACAATTGTTTCACAATAAATTAGTATACTTTGACTTGCACTTTGGTATAATTTATGTTTGGATTTTATTATAACTGGATATTCCTGTTTACTTCATCATGGTCAGCATCTCAGTTTTTAATCATTTAGGTATACTGGAAGATATCAGGAAATCACAATATATTTTCAGATTTAATTATTAAATATATGTTTTATTATAAAAATAGTATTACGAAATATAAGGTTTTAGCACCTTTCCTGCTTATGAAATGACAAAATTTGAGATATTGTAGGTGCATAAGATATTGTAGTGTACAAGCTTAAATAATCAAGCTTCATTCAAACTATTAATATAGCACCTTTTGCAAAAGTGGTGCTTCAAAACAGTTTACATGAATGAAATATTAACATGGCAATACTAAACATTTAATTAAAGTATAAGCAGGAATAAAATAAAAACTAAAAAATAATAGTAAAATATTATATAAAAACAGTGAATACAGAACATAACAAATATAGAATAATAACAATAAACTATAAAATAATTAATAACTAACAGAAAGGTTAAAACAATTAATCTATGAAACCCATATTCAATCAAATAAAACAATCATTTTTAGGAAGAATAGAATTTGTTTTCTTAGTCTAGTTTTTGTTTTCTGTTGGTCATTCCGTGTCAAAATTGTTATTTTTTAGATAATAGCAGTAATTTGTATTCCTAAAATCCCTATTCATCATTTAATTCATTATAGTTTCTTGGTAGAACATGATTATCCCCTCATAAATGTGCAGATGAGCTTCTCATTAGATCTAAAAGGCCCAGTGGACTATTACAACAGCTGTCTGCCCCGGCAGACAAGGCATCTAACTTCTGTATTCCAGATATACCTTCTGGGTCCCTCTAACATAGCGGCAGATCCACTGTTCATGAGTGGCCCAGAGGATGTGGAATGACACTTCCATCTGGAGATTGAATTCCATATGTTGGAATGCTTTTGTCGGGAAGCTGAAACATTGTCAGTCATGGTTCTTTTTCCAGGAGTGGGACTGCCTATTGGACATAACATTACTGGGTTCAGTCATGGCCCAGAAAACTCCTTAATGGCTTCCTATATAGCTCTCTTTCTTCAGTGTCTCCTGTGTCTCCTGGGACTCTGGCTTGTGACCTTTCTTTTAGTCAGGTAGGCCTTGATGCAGGCCTGCTTTGAGCCTCTAGATATGGCATCCCCCCACACACACTTCTAGGTGTTTGAAACAGCCTTTCTTTCAGGTATCACTTTCATTCACATGATGGTTGAGATTCAATCTCTGATAAGTCTCTGTGACTGCTCCCTTCGGATTTCATCTGACCTGTTTAGGTCCTCATTGTGACCTAGCTTTCTTACATAAGACAGTTTTGACCCTTGGGGGTTTGACATGGACCTGTTGCTACTTTTGTAATGTCTGAGTTTGAGCAATGGTGGTCTACATGTTTCCTTGTACTGTGCCTGTTTAGCAGTAAGATATCCAATCCACTACGTGGTATTTCTTCATTTATAACACTTAAAGCAAGTTGTGAATGTAAAGGTTATATTGTATGTATATCTCAGTTCATGAACAACACCTGCGGGAGCAAGATGTGCCAGAATTTCTCAAACTTTCTGTTGTTATTATTTTTTTTATTAAGGGGGAGATTCACTTCGTAAACTTTTGGATTCTTGATGTGAAATATCCCAAGCATTCTTTTGTCTTCTCCAATAGTGTATGGTTATTTAATAATTTAGAGAGAAAATGTTGGTTCTGTTAGGAACTGAAATTAGCTAATCACTCTCTGTTCTTTGCTTGGAGCTCTAAAGAGTTTATATTAACTTACTAATATAATATTAAATAACGGCACTTGTACAGTATACTACAGTATGTCAAATCTGAGTGTTTCACCACCAAAATGATAGGCAGATGATGAAATGTACAAATCAAAATGCATTCCAAATTGCAATTGTTTTGGAAAATGCCTGAGTTAAATAAAGCATTTTGGCAACCTGACAAGTAATTAAGATATTTAATATTTTATCATTTTGATCTTTCTGCATAGTTACATTTGAAATAATACTAAAATTGATCATCAGAATAGGGACCTAGTACCATTTGTGTATATATTAAAACATTAAGAAAAATAACAAATCAATTGCAGTAATTTGTCTTTTTCAGCAGGTTGGATAGATTATTGGGCCAAAATATCTCTCCATTGTTTTGTTGTTACAGAATTGCAATTTGTACTCAGAATAAAAGAACCTTGTGTTCTTAGCTCGGAAGAAGTTTATGCTTCGTTTCCTTTTGTGTCCACTGTTTCAGTTTTTGTGCTGAAAGTGATTTTGTGTTTTGATAATGCACTTAAGGGGTATTTGAATAAAGAGAGAAGGTTCCCCAGGCCTAGCTCATGTCATAAAATATGCTATAACCCATATAAATGTTCACACCTTTCTCCCATGGTAATAAAGTTGCTTTTCTTTTTATCTAGGTTCCTATCCCAGGTTGTCCCTAAGTTTCAGGATAAAAAGAAATATTGGATATTTCATTCTGCAAACATATATGCCTTCTATCTTAATCACAATCCTCTCCTGGGTTTCTTTCTGGATAAACTATGATGCCTCTGCTGCTCGGGTGGCACTGGGTAAGTGTTATGTTTGCATTGTGTGATTTTGGCTTTCAGAACCAGTCACTGTTTAAGCTGTCAATGTGCTTGAGGGGAGCAACTGCATTTGTAGCTGCCATACTGCACAGCACAACCATGTGCTTGGTTGCTAAGAGACCAACTGCTACAAGGCGAGATGGTTTGTGATTAAATAAAGCAAAACAAACAACAAAAGTTTTTGTTCTTTGCAGGAGCTCAATTTGTTTTTGTTCTGAACAGATGACAGTGCCTGTCCCCAGTTTAAGGCTATTTGCAATGCTGACTAGTTATCCTAATAAGAAGTCACTCATTTACCCCTAACCAACATGTTGATGAAAAATAAATATGAGAATGACCTACTATCATAACCTTACAGCCGTAGGATACTTGGAGTTCAAATGGTTTATCATTAAAGATAATGACAGTGTATTGTCTATGTGCCTGCTGAACTGTACACATCAACTCTATAGGATAATGGGATGCTCTTGAACATTCATTGCCGTTGTTCCATTTTCTTTCGTTGTTTTAAAGGTGTCACAACGGTGCTCACCATGACAACCATCAACACCCACCTTCGAGAGACCCTCCCAAAGATCCCTTATGTGAAAGCCATCGATGTCTACCTCATGGGCTGCTTTGTTTTTGTCTTCTTGGCCCTGCTCGAATATGCCTTTGTGAACTATGTCTTTTTTGGCCGAGGCCCCCAGCAACAGAAAAAAATCAACGAGAGACTGAATAAAGCTAACAACGAGCGCCCACGATATGAAGAGAAGCGCCTGAGGGAACAGGTTTGCATTTCCACTTCTAACTTTGTCTCTTATTACATCTTTCAACATGTTTCAGGTATATGCCAATCAGAGTTTCAGAAAAATGCCCAGACTTTGCTTGCCAAGAGACTCTTTTCCAGGGGGGGGTGTGTAGACAGGAACGCTGATGAGTCTGTACAGTATATCTTTTTGAATAATTAATTATTTTTTTTATTAACATATTCCTTTAGAAAAAAATGATCAATATAAATGTATCTAATGTCCTTTTCTAGCTGCATGGGTGTATATTTTAAAGTGCTGTATTACTCAGCTTCATGATTAAAAACTTGGAATAGTGTTTATTTGATCAAATTCTACTGCATAGTTATTTGAAATGGGATTTTAGACTAATGTTCAGTTATCTGCATTACAATATCAGCTCTTTGTCCAAGGCACTAGGAAGTATTCCTGAATTTTATCTTTGACAAATGCACATATTACACTCCATATAATAAATCCATCTGCCATTGCTTTCACATTTGGCCCAGTCATACTCTGCTGAGTTGTGAGTCATTTAAAACTGCTTTTTAAATATAGAATTGTCAGAGGTGGAGTAATGAATATTTCCATTCTAGGCTTGTTTTGAAATCAATTTTTCATGTAAAATTTCTACAGGATTTGTAAATGGATACCATACGAGGTGGTTAGACAGATGCTCAGGCCTCAAAATATTTTTTGAAGATATTTTAGTATGTGTATTGTGTATTGTAGTATATGACATTGGAATTTATGGAAAGCATTCCTAGAATACAGGAAATCCATATGCAACCCTTTTAACTTGATCAAGGTCAAGATTAAATTGATCTTTTATTGTGCAGTGTATCCACCTAACTTGGACTTGCCAGTTCAGTTTGACTTTATATCTATGACTTCTGGGCTGCACAGAAAGAACCAGGTCCTGCTCTTCTGCCATGTCCAGATGTCAGAGCCATTTCCTTTTTTGAAATATAGCAAACTCCTCCTCCAACTAGAGAAGCAGTCCATCTCTCACTGAGTTGACTGCAAGCTAACAGGCACACAACAAGTAACAAACAACCCTACCCCAGTGAAGATCTGTCAATTGTATGCTGCCACTTGGAGTATTCCAGTCACAAGTGGATAGTGACATGACCCATCCTCAAACAAGCATCCCTAGTAGTAAGCAAATGAACAAGTAATAGGTTTATTCCATGCTGAAAAGAGAAGAAAGAAAACACAACGTTTCGGCTGTGGAGCCTTCTTCGGGTGTGTTTTCTTTCTTCTCTTTTTTAAGCATGGAATAAAGCTATGATTCCTTTGCAGCCTACGCATGCTGACACAGCTACCCACCTGAACTACTATCCCTAGTAGTAAACCTGCTCTCTAAATTAGAACCACTTGGGAGCCTGAATAAACTGATCATGATCCTGATTGAATTTCACCTTGATATTAAATTAAATGACAGAAGAAAGAAATCAATTTGCATTAGTGCTGTTATTATTATATAATATATTAGCAAGCCGTTCAGTGCTTAGTAGGTTTCAAAGTTTTTTTCCAGCACCACAGTTAGTTTATTGCTCATCTGGTAGAAGAGTTGGCTGGGCTTTTGCTTGTTTCTTATGATAATTGTTTTGTCTTTGTTTAAACAAAATTGCGATGTGTTTATGTATTGCTTTACTTCATTTTTTACTGTAGTTGATTTTCTGCATATATATATAAATATGTGCCTTTTTGTAGCTGTTTTACGGACGTTTTAATGTTCTTTTCATTTTTTTTTCAACATTGCAAGGATTCCATTTCAGCGCCGTATCAAACCAACACCATCAGGTCATATTCACAACGAAGGAATCTGTATCTCGAGGAACAAAGAAAAGTTGGGGTACATGCATTTAGAAATCATATTACTTAAGAGGCAGCCATTTAACAAATAGCGAAAATGTAAATACTGACCTTCTATGGCCATTTTTTAGCAATTGGTATTCATTTGAACTGAAAAAAGGGCAACTGTCTTCAAATAACGTAGTATTCGTATTTTCTTTGGTACAGTATCTAACATTTAAGATGTATATTTAACTTATACAGTGCATTTTATGTTCATAAACCATCATTCCATTTGCTTTGCGTTTAAAGCAGTATTAAAGTAATCATGTTTTCATTAATACATTTTTCTTGCAGTTCCTAGCTGCTTGTACAGTATCTGTTAGGAACTGCAAGAAAGCTACATTTTGACAGTTTGTATGTTTATGTGTCTTAGGTTGATCCTTATGGGAACATTCTTCTGACAACATTGGAAATGAACAACGAGGTGATGCCTTCTGAAGCTGCCAGCAGTGTCAGCGACTCCAGGAATTCCGTTATGTCTTTTGATAGCTCCGGGGTGCAGTTTAGAAAGCAGATGGCATCGCGAGATGGGTTTGGCCATGCCACACTTGACCGTAGTGCTGCACGCAACCGTGCCAACTGCCGTCTACGGAGGCGATCTTCTAAGCTGAAGCTTAAAATCCCAAACCTTACAGACGTCAGCACCATTGACAAATGGTCCAGGATTGTATTTCCTATTACCTTTGGATTTTTCAATTTAATCTATTGGTTGTACTATGTGAATTGATGTGCATCATCCCAGGAAACGTGGGCCATATTTTGAGAGCACATAAAATTGGCTTTGTTATGACTGAAAGAATTTACACACACATATATATGAAAATATTTATATATGTGTGTGTGTGTGTGTTTAAAAGACTTACCGATGTAAAAAGTATTATAAGAATGACTTGAATGTTTAAGAAAAAAAATGAGATAAACATTTCAAGCCTTTGTATTTCTTTTAGTTCTTCTGAAAAATAATCTAAAAAAAATCCTACAGTGGGATTGAACTCAAGACTGCATGATATTTTTGCTAAAAGAAAGAGTTCTTAAGCAAAGACAATTCAGACTGTACCACTGGATTTTTATCAGTACATGTTCTACTCAGCATTCTGCCAGCAGCTCATTCAACCAGTGGAACTTTTATTTTCCAGGAAATCAGCTGTACAAGTTCATAAGCAGCGTCTGAATCTTCTTTTTGTTACCATGGATAAACATACAGAATTCTCTGTTTTTACTCTGTATAGTAACTTTTTGAAATATGTGTTGTTCCTCGGTTCTGAATTGGAAAGGAATTGCTTAATGGACATTGGCTCTAGCTCTGGCCTACGTTTGGTAGCCATCTTGAGTAACCTGATATGATTCAGAGTCAGCGCAAAAATGTTGATTTTCATGTCATTATGCTTTGGAGAAATTCCTTGGGGTATTTTTTAATTCTTATTATGATTATTTTGTCTTGAAAATAATGTGTTTCAGGAGAGTGTCACCATCACAAGCTCTAGGATTTGTGCATTATTAGATAGTGAGGCACAATTATGCATAATTAATTTATATTTAAAAATAGCATCTACTGTACATTCTTTCAATCAGTAAGTACATTTTTACATGGTTAGTTCATTACTGTATTATTTTTATGAACTGGTTCTTAGTGCTCCATCTGTTCTATAGATATTCACTGCTTTGTTTTATGTGTAAGTAGCGAGAAAACCCCTAATGAGCATTGATTATTCACAGTTTGGATAAGAAGAGTATTCCATCAACCATATTCAGATGTATAAAAAATATTGTGTATTAAAAAAGGAATATCAATTTACATTTTTCTATTTTAAATGTAAAACTACATCTCAACACAGTGTGGACTATATGATATGCTTTGCTCCTTCATCATATGTACATATTCTTTTTTACACCCTGGAAGTGTTATTAATATTTCAGGTTGTTACCAATACCTGTCAAAAGTTTCATGAATTGATTAGTTTGCCTTTTAAACTGGTAGCATGGTTAGTGAAACCCTGCTCGCTAAGATCCATCTTAGATCATATACTATTTTATGCAGCCTGCAATATCGTTTCTACAATACATTTCCTTTGTGCACAGCTGAGTATGAATCTGGAAATGGTTGGAGTTTCAGGGGGTTAAAAAAACATTTTAATGTCAAACTTTCTGTTCCTTCATCTTCAAAACAAGTTGTACTCTTGGATGACCTCCTTTGCACATGACAGGAATTCAGCACACCTTAAGAGAGAATCTGTCAACATTCTTAGGAGCCTTCCTTCATGAGAACAGTTCTGTAGCATCACTCTCCTGTATATTTCAGTCACCTTTCACAATAGTACATATCAGTCAGGAACCCCACTGTATCTCAAATAGAAGTGCTACAAAGTATGATTCCTGTTCAAAGACGTTGGCTAGAATTCATGGTACTTGACAGTGGCCAGGACTCCCAAGTGATGTTTTGTAAGTGACTGAGCATTGTCATCTGTGCTTCAGCTGGCCATGATATCCTAGTCCTGCCACTCAGCAGTGACTCCTGGGATTTACAGGCGTCTCAGTGAGAGGCCTGTTACTCCTCCGTCTGACAGTAAATCTGTTAGACACTGTAGACCCCATAACATATCGAATGGTGGGTGGTTCTGCAGGAAGCATAGAATTAATTAATTTTGTAGAGTGCTTTTCATTCTGTTGAATCCCAAAGTGCTTTACATATAGGAAGGGACCGGGCTCATCTGTTCTATTGGAGTGCAGCATTCACTTGGGTGACACGTGGCAGCCATTATGGATCAGCAGCTCCACTGCACAGCGGATTAGATAGAGAACCGAGAAATGGAAGGCCAGAAGGCCAGATTTTGCAAGCCCTAGTGAAATAAAACCATGACATTGGGATTAACATACCTACACTTGCAAACAGCGCCATAACATCTAATCCAAAGCATGGCACCTCCTTCGGCACAGTGTGACCATAGTGGTTTGCATTAGAAAGTCTGGTCCAGAGGCAAGAGTGCCATCTACAGGTCCACAACACCAGCTGCAGCAGCAACCTGCTTTTTCTTAGAGCTCATCTGAGAAGTAATCTGGCCCAGCCTTGCTGAGATGTAACAAAATCAGGCCGCAAGGTGGTACTTTTGCTGTCAGAAGAAAAACAGTCTAAGTTTTCGTTTCCTCCTTGCTAGTACTGGGGCTATAGCCAAGATAATAGGCTTTCCAATTTGACAATTCCTGACTGAGTGTCTGAGTGTCTGAAAAGATAAAATAATTAGCAATTTCATTTTTGTAATTACAAATGCAGCCATCTTATTTGTGAGATGAAGATTTTTTTTTTCACAGCAATGCCAAAGAGGCCTCTTTTTCAGTGTCATTGTTACTGCTTTTTCTTTTAAATTTGAAACTTTACTGTGTGAATACAATCACAGGATAGAATCGTGACTGCATTGATGAGCGCTGGTTTGTAAACGGAATGGAAAGCTGTTGAAAAATCAAACTATTTATTGATTAGCAAGTCGTGGTGAACACTAAAGGAACGCATCGAGAGAGTAGTTTGTCACCTGCACTTACATGTCATTTTATTTCTCAGTCAGTGCCTGTCCTGTTGTATGTGTCCTGCTGCATTGTCAAATATCTTTTGTGCAGATTGCTATCTGACACACAAATGTACTATTCCAGCAAAAATAGTAATTGCTGGAAAGACTTCAAAGCTCAATCACAGAAAGTCACAATGGGGGGCTTAAGAGTAGAGCACCAGCTAAAGCAAGATAGGCTGACAAATGGATTCATTTGTGTCATATATTTTCTCAAAGGGTTGAGAAGACATTTCAGAAGCCAATGTTTTCTTGAACAGTTAAAAATGCTAATGGCCTAATGGAAGAAAAAAACAATCACACAAAATGCATCACAAGAGAAGGCAAGGTAAATAAGGAAGAGGGAAGGAAAGATGATAAAATTAATTCTTACAAAAACAAAAAAGGAACATGCTTGGCACAAGTCCTTTGATTGGAAATAAAAATAAAACAGGATCACACTAACACTTGATATCTTTGATAATGGTGTGATCACAGCAGGCTTAAATTTGAGATTCCAATCCATAATAAGGTGTGAGTCTTCACACAGAATTATTATGATAAACCAGTTCCCTATGACAATAAGTAGCACTTTTATTTTGAGGTGTAATTTTTTTAAAAATGTTAGCCACTTGAATTTTTTTTCTAGGATTATTTGTTTTTATTTGTTTTACTGAATATACTTACACACTTAGTTATGCTACCAAACACATGATAATTTTAACGAAATATCTACAGTAATAAACATGTAAAATGCCTTAAAATAACAATGAGAAAATGAATTAGTAACTTGGGAGTGATAAAGAGTGACTCCAAAAAAACAGTATTTGTAAACCTAGTGGATAGAATTATGAATTAGAATAAAGCACCCGTATTTCCATTTTTATAGAGTTTTCTAAATCATTTCAGTAAATACATTATGAATAGTGTTGTGTATCTGTGACTTCAGATTACAGCCAGGCTTTACTTACTTCCTATAAGAACTTTATACTTCTAATATGATGAAGAAAGACATGGATGCAAATGTGCAAGAAGTTAGTGGAACAACCAAGATATTGCTATAGCTGAATTAAAAATTCAATGACATTTACAGGGTGTAAAAATAAAATAAGAACCAAAAAACAAATTTTAAAAGTTAAAAGGATGTATATTTAATAAAATATAGGCCTATAATTTAAATGTATGAGAAAATTATTTATTGTACATAAGAATGCCATAAATGGTTGCCAATTTGAATCTTATATCTGTAAACTAACAAAATAATATAACCCTTTAAAGGACATAAAATGAGCTTCAGAGTAATCTCTCAAGAATAATCAACTTGTTAATTATGTGCAGTAGATGAAAATCTAAACTCTTCTGATTTTTTTTTTTCCAAAATGCAATTAATATGCACAATAAAGAACTCTGAACTATGGTTGAGCGGGTACTTAAATTTATAAAAGGAGGTTAATATGAATTCAAAGTGGGAAAATGAAAGCTCCTTCTGAAGTTTAAGAATTTGTTCCAAGTAGTAAACATGTAAATTTTTAGGATCTTAAATATCGGCAATAGCCAATGTTCAGCTGCATTGAGAACTATTTGATTTCCTCTTGAAATTTTATCAGCTAACCAGGAAACCATTAATGTATATCTACTGTAACTATGCATTTTTGCTTTATAATGTTAATACAAATGCATGTATCACAAAGAAATTCTGCACTAACATTGGTCACAATGCAATGTTTGCACTGCCTGTCCATGCAATTCAACTGCTTTGTCTAGAAATCGTAATTAAGACACCTCCCCCAGACAATGAATGAGCTTTGCATTATATATTTCTCTATAGTGCCATACAATGTGCTAATCAAAGGTGTTTTAAAACATTTTTTAAAGTGACTGATCCATATGTAAATTAATCAGGAATCAATTGGAGTTAGCTAACATTTAAAAGACAACACAAACATATGGGCAAGTTACTGTTTGTTCCGTGATTTTAAATATTATTCAGTCGCTTGGTATGAAAGTTTACAGATACCTCAAAAAGATACAGTACAAAACTGAACACACTGAGCCTTATGTAGATGATAAATACTCTGATATTTATTTCTGAACTATAATACTTGAAATAAAAGCTTTCAGTATTAGACATGGAAAAGAATAAGGAAATGCATGGCCAACTAAATGTGCTGTTATTTTAAAAATACATGCAGTAGTAAAACATTGGTGCCAATGTGCTTATTTTGTAGATCTGAAATTTGTTCACATTCTCTGAATATAGTGTAATCATCACTTTTATGAAAGGGGCTGCAGAAGAAGATTATGGTGCCACGTATTTGTAGTTTTGCGCATGACAGGTATACAAAATGTGCACAAGTTGATAACTACAATCACATGAAAATAGTTTTCAGCAATGTTTTGGTTTAAAGCACATTTTCATTGTCCCATGTTATTAGAAATTAAAGTAAGAAAGGTTGAATGATGTACCAGTAAATTAACAATTCTGTGACAACTATTACTATTTAAACCTGAAAGCCATAGGTTTATTGAGCAGAATCCAGGACCGTTAAGTTTGTTTTTCCCCAGATTCTTCTAATGTGGCCTTATCATAGGGCGCCACATAAAAGAATGAAAAAAAGTCATCAACCATAAGTTCTGACTGAGTGGAAGGCAGTTGTTCAAAGCTACTGCATAAGAACCAGATGTTCGGTGGATTCAAATATGGACTATGTCACGAAGTGGAATTTCTAGCCGGCAATGAAAATTCTTGCCTTGCACCTCATGGGGGCTTTGCCTGTGTGCCACCTGTGTATCTAATAAAGTTTGACCTTTTTCCATCTTCATTTGGGTTGTCAGAGTTTTTCAACTCCAACTCCTGAAGGGTGATCATAAAATGTGATATCTGGCTGTGCCAGTCCATGGCATTTAGTTCTTGTGTTTCATGTTTCAATTCACCCAATAGCCAGGTTTCCAGGGTTGTTATAAAGAAACCATTCAGATTCTTTGACTTACAGCCTTGTGGGCAGTCTGATTACTTTTATTGTGAATGGATGGAAACCTTGTTGAATGCTTTTCTGGCCTTAATGGAAATGAAATAATTTCCCGCAGCATTTAAGGCATTTTTAACCTTTTCTTCAATGTTAAAACTGGTGACCAGATAACAAACGTCACTATACTGTACATGTAGTTTACCTTGGTGGTCACAAATAAAATCTTATCAGCTTACGGAGTCGCACTGTGAAATCCCTTATGCCACAACTTTTCAGTGACAGTGGGAGTATACAATCCTCTTAATATCACTGTAATATCCCTTTAGTCTCTTTGATAAAAAAAAACATAGTAAAGACAACCCTCCCTGAAAAGAAGTGCTATTTCCTTTTCATAGCGGAATGACTGGATCATAACACATCCAAGTTATGGATTTAGGAATAAAAATAACCTATGCAGTTAAAAGTCCCAGCAATGTCCTTACAAAACAATATTTATCAAACTGTTTTTGTACTGGAGTTAAGGCTCAAGAATGTGGCCCTTTTTTAACAATTCTGTGTATAATACTGCTCAGCTGTAGCCAAAAAAAATTAAAAATATTGGACTTTATAACAACCCGTTACGTGTTATACACATTAATTCATTTTGGGAAAACTGCCTCTTGGTGCTCTGGGCTTCAGAGCTGACCCTTCGTACTGTCTTAGGAGGCTGTGAAGATAGACTGGGGATAATGTACTTCTTTTTCTCGCCATATCTCTTTCATTGACACATCCACATGACACAAGAAGATGTGGAGGTGCAAATCTGTGGAACTGTTTCAATGTGAATTTTCTTGCCTCTTGTGTATGTGTGTAATTACATGTGAATTGTACTGTAAATATAATAACTTCACTTAATATTTCTTAATGCATGAACAACACAGGGCAGTACGTAATGGCAGCTCGCTTTTCCTCTTAGGCATGTACAGCTTTTGCAGCACTGGCATTCTTCTGCAAATGAAACCTGCTGAAAGGTCTTAATTTCGCATGACTTTAGTTCAAAGGGTTTATTTTTGTATCTTTACCAAAAAGTCCTTTTTGTATGTGTTTTGTTAAAATGGTATACAAAATTCCACAAAACCATGTGTGTGATAGAAACTGCACATAGTACTTCACAGATAGTAGTTTATCATCACTGGCTCATCATTGAAACAAAGTGAAAAAAACATTTACAAACAGAAAAATGCTACAAAATACTAATGACGCTAGGGTCCACAAATTGCTCTCTACTGGTTTGAAGTTTGTGCAAAATACATTGTAACAGACATGTTAGTACATAAGTAAAATTATGAAAAGAATCACAGAAATGTTAACTGGAAGAAGCTAAATTAAACTCACTATTATGGGGTCACTCTTTAGATAGGCCCTTTCTTTTCCCTTCAGATGAGCACTTTAGGACATAAAATGTGAATATTATTGTAATTGACTGTGATATATGCAGAACATGGTCATATTTTGGTATAAAGAATAAGGTTAATGACTAACTTTGTGAAAACGTTATCACACATGCTCAGTTTCTATTACCTCTCCATTGTGGAGTTACTTCTTGAACATGGATCTGTAGAATTTGTTTAACAAACACAACTCTCTCAAGGAAAGTTTTTATCACAATGTACAAATTCTCGGGAAGTCCTGCAGTATACAATTCATTTGCTAAAGCCCACTAAACACAACACTTTTTCTTTCATTTACATAATCCAATTGGAAGAAAACACATTTCTAGTTACATCCTGCCCTGAAAAAAGTGCATTTTTTATGATATTGGTTTACTCACACATTTAGTGATTCAATTATTTATTTAAGTGTTTTGTTTCTTTCACATACAACTCTTTTTCATAATTCCAAAAATTTGATTCATCTTTTGTATAAAGTTAGCTATAAGCTGTATTCCTTCAATTTTTTGTCAGTGCCAATTAATGTAACGTGTAAATCTGCTTTTCTAGATGTTTGAGCAAAATGTGTTTTTTACTAATTCAAGATGTATGTGGTATACAAAAAAAGAGTTATAATGAAACCGACTGAATTTTTACAAATAAAGGCTTATACTGAATGAGAATGCAAAGTTTTTTCATTTGCCCTTTGAGGACTAATTACCACTATCTTTTTCTTTTGGCAATTTCTGTTTGGTCTCAGGATTTGTCTGATTGGTGGCAAATACTGGCATTTACTCAGTTAGTCCCCAAATGGTAAATAATTACATTTTTGGAAAACAGTAAAAACAAAAATTCTGTACCGTGTTCATTTCAAGCCATTCTGCTGGTTTTTACTCCCTGTTTATTAATCAGTTCTTTTCACAAGAGGTGTTTGATAATGAGATGGGTAAATCGATTGGGCTTGTTTCAGTCATAAGTGAAAAAAACTTTTGTTTTCTCTTGGAATGCATCCAAGCTCAATTGCAAAGTTGTCATATCAGAAGGAAATATCGTTTTTCTTTTTTTTTCTGAATATAAAAGCAAAATAAATCTTGCTGAAGCGCACAGAGTTTACGTTTTCTGAGTGAATAGCCCTTTTCTGAAGAAACGTTACTAACATAACAAAACATCCAAAACGTAAATTGATGAAGCAGAGCTATATAATGAGACGTACTGTAAAGAGAAGTAAATTATTTGACACTATACAATTTGACACAATGATTGCTTGAAAAGACCATTCTTCAGACAAAATGGGAACATTTGGAGATGTTTGAAAGATCTTATTTCTATTTAATTCATTTAATTAGTTCTGTTTCTAGTTGACAGGCATTAAGACCCATTGGCTAAGACAAGATACAGTACATGGTCAGTGTAGGATTGTCAAAGGTTAGGATTAACATTGCTTAACCCTTTCATCGTAAACTGGTTCTAACTCTATGTCACTGAGAATGACAAGCAACTGCTTTTACTCAGTTATCCTCCCCTTCCGTCTGAGTAAAAAAAACTTTGAAAAAAGACAACTGCTAGGTGTCTGAGGTGTAGGGAAGGAGATGGTATCCTATTGTTCTTTATTCCTCTTATACTGATTTATTTCAGTCTAATTCCATCTTGTTTTATATCAGCATAAATGCCTTTTTTTCCTGTAGATCTTAGCTAGCCTTAGTTTTGAGCATTGTTGTGTGTGAGCACTTTACCAAACTTTAGATTTGGTTTTGATCTAAATTGTCTGGGAATTAATGCTTAGCCTAAGGACCAGAAGCCCCACAAGGCGGGATGAGTCATTGCAAGGGCAATAATGGGGTGGCCAAAAGAACACAAAGTGATGAATGGTGGGAAAAGGGTGTTTGTTTATCATAACTTTACCATACAGGCATATATGAAGTGGCTTAATGTAATTAATGGATTTTTAGGTTTCTGGCATCCAAAAATGCGAGACAGGTGGAATGTCTTCTCTCATTTTGACTTTTTACTTGAGATATTCAAAATGTTGCATATGTAATATGTACTTGTATATTCTGGGCATCAACAGAAACATCAATTATCACTGCAACAAGTTTCTATCATTAATAATTTATGAAGTTTCTATCATTAATAATCAGAAAAACAAAATAATTTGTGTAGAAGGTACACTGACATTTTATTGAACAGAAATTAAGTGGAGTTTACAAAGAAAGATTGGGAAGGGATTATGGCAGCCAAGTCCAGTTTGCCTAATCTGTCCTAAATCATAATTATTTCTGATTTCATTTCATACATCTAGAAAATAAAAACGTAAATACCATAAGTCCTTTCTCTAATTCACTTTCATCTTTTGCATCCCCCCTCCACCCCAACTCTACCTTTGCAGCTACCATATGGTTAACTCCTCACTCTGTATGGGAGTTTCAGCCTCTTCATCCTAAACTAAGACAAATTTTCTTTGAATAAACACTCAATTATAATTTTTCAATACATTTAATGTTTAGTTGTTGTTATTCTTTTGGAATTCATTATCTACTGTATGATATGAACATTTTGTCATTACATAATATGATGACATTGTCACGTACAGTTCTTTCCAGGCCCTATGCGGATGACACGATCCAGAATAGTGAAGACACAAGGGGAAAAATGGTCATGCAGGAGAAGGGTCTGGAGACGGGGGGGCGTGTCCATGCAGTGCAGGTGTCAAGGGGAAGAGAATCCAGGCGAACAATCCATGTAGGAAATCCAAACGGGAAATCAGAAACAAGGGCTGAAGTCCATAGCCAGGTGATCCACTTGGAGGGGGGGAACAGGAACCGGGTCGGAACCTGCGAGGGGAACCAGGAACTAGGAACAGAAAGTTAAAAGCATAACGGAGCCAGACGCAGCAAGACCCCGGGCTCTCATGATGTGGAAATCAATGAGGAACCAGGAGTAAGGTCCGTGTCTGTCTTTTAAGGGGGAGCGGGATTAGGGAAGGTGCAGACAATGGGGCATAACAAGGAAGGGCTGGAGCGCCCTTAAGAGGAGGGGTTAGCGATCGTGACAGACATCTGATAACATTTGTCATTGTCGATCAACGGGGGATCTACAGTGAAAGTCATAGGCTAGTAGCATATTGTATGTGACAACCATTGGAAGGTGTAAATTAGTGACACATATTTTGTACTAGGTTGCGGATGCTTTCTTGTGGGATTCTACTCTATACCTCTTCTAGAGATTGGACAAGATTGTACCTATTCCTTTGTCTCTGAGCACTGATGCCACACATCATCGCAGCTCATTCTGCAAATGTTCAATGGGGCTCAAGAGTTGTCTGTAGGGCATCCATGGCAAAACTTTCACACTTCCATCTCATGAGAAAGGCTTTGCTAAAACCAGTATAAGGACACGTGTTTTGTACTGCTAGAATCGTGTCATGATAAGCCCACAAGGGCAGCAAGTGTGGGCTTGACCAATGGAGTGCCATGGAGTTCTCTAGTGAAGACATTCCTGTCCAGATCAACACACTTCGACTTCCCCAATGTTGGCAGGTTGTTGTCAACAATTAGCATACCATTCTGTTTCACACTCCTTGTTTTCTGGCAGAGTGGTCAGTACAACACCTTGACTCATCACTAAATAGGATTTTTTCACTAAATAGACTTCTGGTAAGTCTACCAGAGGTGTTGCTCCTATAATGGCTTTGTTCTCTTGATAGGTGGGCCATAGTGGTTCCTTTCCATGAGTGTATTTGTTTTTTCTTGCATTATATCAAGCTTGACATTAGTCTTGATGTGGGCTGTGCCCACTCAGCTGTCTAACTAATGAGGTGATTTAGTGGTCATGCAAGAAAATTAACTGAGATCAAACCTTGCAAATATGGCATCAATGCCATAACTGTCAAATTCTCATGGATTGCCCTGCTGGAATGTTGTCACCTCAAGATGAGCCACCAAATGACAGCAAGTGAGGTACCAGGGCTTGGCTGACAGAACAGAGCATATATATAATATGATTGCAGTCAATCACATTTGCAGACTGGTATGTCTAATGTGTGAATCTGGTATTGTGATCAAGTTATCATGATAATTGTTTATCTTGGCAAGATGCTATAAGTCATGGTCTATCACTGAAGTTCTCTGTCTGGCTACAATATCTTGTCAATTTAGAAGCTGGTGGCTGTGCATATCCAAAGTGACAGCATACTGACTTAACCCAGGCTCCAGCCTAGAGATGACACAAAGGCATTATTCTCTTAAAAAACATACTGTATTGATTTGTGTGTTATTCTTGCATCCATCCAT